AGTGCTAGAAGTGATGATGAAACCTGGAGAAATAAACCGTTCTGACGTGTGGCCGAGAGGTTTATTAGTTAAACTTCACTCAGTCGGTCTGTGTTAAGTTTCCTCTCAGTCTTTTCTGGTGAAAAGCTGCTTTAAACCGGAAGCTAACTTTACTGTTAGCGGGGTTAGCATTAGCCGAAGCGCCTGCAAAGGAGGAAGAACTGAACTCGCAGTGAGTACAACTCACTTTTATGTCCCTGTTTATGCTAAGAAAAGCTTTAAGAACATGAGAGGAAGAAATATCAACAATTGTTAGACCGAGTTAATATTTTTAAAACCGCTCATTTGTGAGTGTTTGTCCAAAGTGGTCACACACCAAAGTTTTGATGCAATAAAGAATTCTTCAACAGTAAAGGAAAACATTACAATAAATGGATACATCTGGCCGTTTACACCACACTACACTTAAATTTCAAATACTTGAGATTAGTTTATGACTAAATGTATTAATTAATTAATACAATTATGACTAATTGTATTTTGACTACACATAATACCTATTTGAGAAATGTCTAATTACATTCTGACTTGTTTAAGTAACGTCAGTTTTACTTTCAGCTGTTTGGAGGTTTAAATTGTGACTACAGAATCGAAGCCAATTTGAGATACCTCACCTTTTGATCTGATTTGTCATTATTCCAATTAAAAGTATCTTAAATGTATTTTTAGACTGGTGATTTATAAGTTTGAACAAGAGCAAATAAAATTTCAGATGTCTTGAAAGCAAATAATGACTCAGCAAAACTAACTTAGAGATTAGTTCAAAGTTGGCAGCAAATCAATCGCATGATAAATTAAAATGAACTCAATCAACTCATTAAAAACTGGATGACAAAAGTCTTTAGCTCGTTTTTTTAAATGACAATTTGGTTTACATAAACTTCATAATTTATTTTATTTGTTATTTCTGTTTTTATTTTGGATATTTAATTTATCTACCAGTTCCAGTGTTAAATGTTTATTAGAATTTAAAATGTACTTAAAATAGTCTCAACAGTATTGTTTATTGGAAAAACTTCTGAGACAATTTATCCTTCAGTATATATTTGTTATTGTGACAGTCCTAGTCAAAGTTCCTTTTTAAAATATCTCCAAATGAGATATTTTTTGATTTCAGATATCTTGAATTATAACATTCTGAATATGATACTGTATTCTGTCTTGTCAAAATGTCCCAGAGTTACGTAACAAAACATGTTGACAGTATGACTTTTAGCTTTCCAAGGCTGTTTTTAAGAGTGTTGAGTTTGCAGATTTCAGTTTTGGTCCCCATTCAAACCGAGTTTACCGATCTATTTGGTGTGAAAGCATCCTTAAAGAGCGCCTGCTCTGATTTGTCTGTCTGGTTCGTAACGTCAGCCATGGTTGAAGTGGTGTTGCTGCTTCCTGTCAGGGGGGTTTCAGGATGAACAGGAGGTCGAGGTCGTCCCATCTGGGCTTGCTGATGCTGGGCGCCCAGGTGCTCGAAGTGGGCCTGGGCAGCATTCCGCCCGTCACCCTGGCTGTCCTGGCCATCAACGTTTACCTTTACCTCTTCCCAGCAGCTCCGCTCCTGAGGGTAAATAACTAATGCACACATCCAGACATGTAAGAGCAAAACAATGTATACTTTTTTCATTTACTAAATTGCACCTGGTGATTCAGTTGGCAGAAATAGTCACCATTTTGCATGATTTCTAATAGAAACACACTGATCGGATATTAATAACTGTATTAATTCTGTATTGGTGCAAAGTTATCAAATAAATGTGTAATTCATCACATTCATGTCTGTTTAAAAAGTCAGTCCAGCTGTTTTTCTGCGTCAGCTCGGCCGATACCTCAGAAGTGGAAGAAGTGGATTGGTTCATCCTTAATTTGTTTTGTTTTTTCCCAGGCCTGTGTGAGCGTCCAGCAGGCGTACTGGCAGGGCGACTGGCGGCGGCTGCTCCTGGCGCCGTTCCACCACGCCGACGACTGGCATCTGTACTTCAACATGGTGTCTCTGCTGTGGAAGGGGATGAACCTGGAGCGGCGGCTGGGCGCAGCCTGGTTCCTCTATGTTCTGTCCGTCTTCTCCGTGCTCACCGGGGCGGTGTACCTGCTGCTGGAGGCGCTGCTAACGGAGCTAGCTGACGACCAGTCCTACAGCCTGGCCTGCGCTGTCGGCTTCTCTGGTACGAGTAGATCTACGGGTTTCTGAGTGGAAAGGTTTGGGTCCTCTTCACTGATTTGTTTTTATGTTTTATTTCCAGGTGTGCTGTTTGCGCTGAAGGTGCTGAATAACCACTACCACCCTGGACGCGTGATTTACTTGATGGGGCTGCCGGTGGCTAGCCGCTACGCCAGCTGGGTGGAGCTCGTTCTGATCCACATCACGGCACCTGGGTGAGTTTAAGAGAAAACATCCTGGATTCTGGAGCCGCTTCCCAGATTAGACTCCTAAAAATGATTTTTAATCCCAGTAAAACCAGTTTAAACAGCTTTATAAACATTAATGAAGCTTTTTTCTCACTTTAACTCTCTATTTTATAACTCTGAAACTCTTTAACTTCCATTTTTCCAGTAGTTTATGTCCAGTTTATTACTTATTAATTCATCTGAGCATAATGCTGCACTAAATGATACACTATTAAAATTTCTAAAGATGTTTTTTTGTTAACTGCACTGTTTGATTTCATCCACTAGATGGAGCTGTTTCACGTGTTTAATAACACATATAAACTTAAACAGACGTTTTTGTCCCCAGTCCTGATAAATTAAAACCATTTAGTCAAAAATCTAAACTGACATTTTAATAAAAACAGCTTATTGTTTTTGATAAATATCTATTGTTAAACGTTTATCATTTCAAAACAGTAATTTCATTTCAATTTTTAGGTCTAAAAACAAAGACATTTATAAAAAATGTGCAAAAATATATATTTCCTTTTATTGTTTGTTGATATTTGCTAATTTTCTTTTTTTAAAAAGCACAGTTTATAACTGAATGACAAGAAAAATTATTAATACTAATTACGGCTGCAGCTAAAGATTATTTTAGTAATTGAGTAATCTGTCGATTATTCTGATGAATTGTTGAAATTAATGCAATTATTCCATGAAAAACCTGTAGTTTTTTTTTTTACAACGGTTTTATTTTGAAAATGAGACTTTTTCTCAATTAGATTAGCATGGAAACAAGATAAAGATAAGATTTTATACAACTTTTATTAACCAGGTGAGCTATTAAAAACAAGTTCTTACTTACAATAGAGATGTGACATTTTAAAGGTAAAATAAATAAATACATACGTTTGCATTTGTTTGATCCATTTGTAGAATATTTCATTTTTTAATCAATATTAAGGAATTATTGACTTAAAACAAGCTCATATATTTTGCTGATAAGTTACTTGTAAATTAGTTTCGTCTTATTTCGAATGCACTAAGATATTTGCACTGGGAACCAGAGTAAAATGACCTGGTAACATTTAGTGTTTGCAGTGTAATGCTGAGAGTTGGAAATGTTCTGCTGGGAACCATTAAGTCCAGGAAGTGTTTGATTCCCAGAACCAAACGTGGAGAAACTGCATCCAGCTTCTATGCACCACAGATCTGGAGCTGAAAACTGAAAAACAGCCGAAACACTGAGTCTGGAATAAAAACCCAAATGTTCGGAGCTGCTTTTGAAACATGATAAATGAACCTTTAACCAACATTTTAATGTGTGATGAAGATATTTAACAATGTTTGAATTGTTGATTTTTGTGTTTTTATGATGCACTTTGAACCGCCCTGTTGCTGAAACCATTGATTGATTGATTGATCCGTGTCTGCTGCTCCTCCAGGACTTCGTTTGTGGGTCACCTGGCAGGAATCCTGGTGGGTTTGCTCTACACGTCCGGACCGCTCAACAGAATCATGAGGAAATGTGCAGGTCTGACTTCATTCAGCCGTTTTCTCTAAAACCTTCGGTCTGATCCTGAGCAGACACATCACTTCTTAAATATGTTCAGTTTTAAATTCATTTGATTAGAAGTCGACTGGTTTACCATAATCAGGTCTTTACAGGTCTAACAGTAACTTACTGGTTTTACTGGATTCTTTTCTCCAGATTTGTTCACGTCAAACGAACACGGATCACATCACAACTACTACAGATCTGCCGGCACGTCAGGTACCGGAGCATGCTGGGAAATATTTCATAAAATATTAAAATAAAGTCATAATATTAGAATAAAGTGGTAATATTATGACTTTATTCTGTAACTTTATTCTCATATTATTGAGTTAATGAGCAAAATATTATGAATTTATTCTTGTATGATTTTATTGTCATAATTTTATAACTTTATTCTCATAATTTACTGGCTATTTTTGTAAATTTCTAACTTTATGCTGCTAATTTTATCATTTTATTCTCGTATTATTTCAACTTTATTCTGATAATTGTATAACTTAATTTTTGTTTGACTTCCATTTTTGTGATATTATGAATTTATTCTCTTAATGTTATGACATTTTCTCTGAATATTTTCGGACTTTTTCTCATAATTTTGTCTTTTCTTGATCTTTTTCTTGTCTGGGGCCTCATTCCCTCATAACTCAGGTTATGCTGGCCGTAGTGGAGTTTACTATGGATACTTTCAGGACCCCCCAGATTACCACACGGCGTCGTACACCGGCGGGCTGACGGAGGAGCAGCAGCTGGAGGCGGCGATCAGAAACAGTCTGCACGACCGAGGTGAGGCGCTCTGAACTCTGAACTCTGAAAGAAACACACCTGACTCCTGCTCATTTCTCAGGACAAGGCCACAGCAGTCGAGGTCGTCCACATCGGGACTTCTCTGATGATTTCAGCGCCGAGGAGACGAGGTGGAGGAGGATGAGGCGGTTCGACAGCTGAACTCTGACCCAGGAAGTAGAAGAAGAAGAAGAAGGTTTTGGTGGAAGAAGGACAGACTGAGAGGATTGCTCTGAATAAAGCGATCAAACGTTTCACCACCTTCTGTTCTTTCCTGAATCTGTCATTAATGAGCCAAAGAGAGCAGATTCTGAGTTTGTGTGTTTTATAAAACCAGAAGACGAAAAGCTTCTGAGCTTCGACTGCAGGATGAAGTTTGAAGGTAAAAGTGAAAAGAAGATTTCTGTTTCTTTTTAGCTTGAACTGAACGCTGGTTGGTTTGCTTATAAAAATCATCAAACATTTTCCAGTTTCATATCAGACTGTCTCTGAGACAGACTGATACGATATAGAAAACAAAGAAACAGAGAGGAATAAATGTCTGAGAAAAAAAACAGAAATTCTGAGATCAGTCTCAAATTTTCTAGAAAACATAAAATTTCTGAGTTTGAAAAGTTAAGGAATTGGAGAAATTTCTGACTCTGAAATTTCAGGTTTTTGTAGAAAAAAGTGACTTTTCAAACTCAGAAATATTTGACTTTTTTCTGTCTTTTGAACTTGTTTTTATTTTTTTTGTCTCCTTCTGGCTGTTGCCGCAAATGAAGCTGCTGCTCTTCCTCTTGCTATTCATGAGTTCTCGAAGGATTTTGCCCCTTTTGCCCCATTTTGAAAAGGGGGGAACTTTGTGTCTGACTTTGTAAATGTGTGAAAAGGCCTTAGAATAAATCTCGTTTTGCAGTAGCAAAGTCTCACACTGATTTAATTTAACAAAAATTTTAAAGCTGCCTTTAGTTGTGTTTCTTAGTCGGGAAAAGTTTGAATCTGAAAAAAAAGTGTTAAACTGCTTTTCATATTCAATGGTTTTTCATACATTCTTTTTTTTTTCCTTTGTAAAACTTTTGGCCCCAATTTAGCTCCATATGGATGTTCTCGACATGTTAGCAAAGTTAAACTGAGTGATTTTTTTATTGAAACATGGAAGAATTGCCACAGTTTAAGTGAATGTAGCTCAGTTTGTATTGATTGTGACTCAAATGAGCATCTTTGAATAATTCATTTTTAAAGTTACTGAATACATCAACATATTTTGACTAAAATTTTAATCTTGTGAAAAACACACAGAAATGACGGCTGTAAAATGATTTCAAATAATTAGAATCAGTCACAGTTCATGGCATCCAGTTTGTCAGCCATGACAGTCTTCCTGTCAGGTTAGTTTAAACTTATGGGGTGCCTGTCTGATAGATCTCCAAAGACAATATTTCAGCTGATTTCCTCCTCTCTAATGGACAGATCTAATAAATAATAGATGTTTTGGCTCATGCAGCAGCCTGGCTCTGCTCTGCGCATGCTGCACACCGTCTCTGATCCAGTCAGTCCTGTGTGAAGGTCAATTCATCGTTGCCTTTGCAAGCTGAGATCACAGCGACTCCCACAGGAAAACCAAATGTGTTGTTGCATAAATGAAACAAGCTGCTGGTGTTAAATCCTGCTTAGCAACTGAAAAGTCTCACAGTGAATGAGCTGCAGACCGACATTAAATTAAATCTGCTCCTGAAGCAGATTTAGTCTCTGCATGTTCTGATTGATCAGGAATCGATTCTGGATCGTCCCCACTTCTTTACCATCTTCCAGTTATGATGATTTTTTTTATTATCAAAGTTGCTCTCAAATAGACAAATCTACTAAACATGTCTTTAATATAACAAATCTGTTTAATTTCTCACATTCCTTTAAGGTCAAGTGATGAAATCTTTTTTTAAATGATGTAATATCAAATTTTGTTGAATTTTGAGGAATATTTATACATATATGTATTTTTTTATTATGCTAGCCGCTTAACTTGAATTATTTCTGCAAGTTAAGCAGGAATAATTAAGTTAAGTTAAGTTAAACCGGCCCTGTTTTAAGTTAATGAGTCCTTAATATTTAATAAGTACTAATTCATCTGTCAATTTTTTTTTTTTTTAATATGACATTTTTACCCTGTTAAGTGAAATAATCTGCTATTGAAACTAGAACTTATTGACATAAAACAAGCTCTTATATTTTGCTGTAAGGTTTTGTTTTATATATTTTTAATGTGTTGGGTTTCTGTTCTTTTCTCTGGGAAAAGAGCAGAAACTCCGTGGTGGGAGTTCAGTTTTTACAGTGCGCCCCCCTGTGGTGGTGCAGCTTCACGTTCCTGGTCTGATCACCTGTAAACGGTTTGCTGCGGGAGCGTGAAGCTCGCCTCACCTGACTGACGCTCACAGAAATGGAGCTGATTGGATCCCAACAGCAGAACCCCAAGTTCTCCAGCAGGGGTCGGATTCAGTCCAGCACCGAGCCGCGACCTCTTGACCTTTCCTCTCTTCAACAGTTGGAGAGGCTGAAGAGATGAGATAAATATGAGCTCACATCTACTCTTCCTCTCCCTGCTGTCAGTCTGCCCCTCCATTTCTTCCTTTCTTTTCTCTTTATTGCTGGAGGATTTTTCTCCCGTCTCTCTCTTGCCTCTCTTTGCTGCCTGTTCTCGTCTGACGTGTTTTTCTCCCTCAGTTCATCTCTGGATTCGTCTCCCAGACCAAAGCGAAGGTTTTGATCTCACTCCTCTTCTTCTCCTCACTCAGACACTCTGTGTCTTTGCGCCACAGTTTCCTTTAGATCACAGTTGGTGATTCTCTCTGATTCTGGTTCAGGCCGGATGACCCACTTCTGCAGTGAAGTCAACGTTTCACCGCGTTGAGTCTGAAGAACGGCTTCATCACCATGTCAGTGTTTCCTTTACACTGAAAATGAAACGCCTCGTGTGCAGAGCTCGGTAGCAGCTAGTTAAATTTAATAATTTAATTTATCTAGTTTCTAATGAAAATATCCTGAAATAAAACAAAAATTAACTTACAAGTTACAGTAAATGGGAGTTTGTTTTAAGTCAGTAATTCTTGAATATTTATGAAACAGTTCTACTCCTCCGGTAGAATATTCCGGCGTTACCTAGCAACCCCAGCCAAGCCCAGCCCGTTACTTAGCAACCCAGTTCGAGTTCCACTGGCCAGTTATCTGATTTATAACTTGGGAAAAATGTCTTGTAGAACTTTTTCATCAAAATTTAAGAATTACTGACTTAAAACAAGATTCTATGTTTTGTTGAAAAGCTACTTACAAACAGAGTGAGG